TCTGACTACTCTATATCTAGAAAACTCTGGAAAGGATTACCAGAACTTGGAATGGACTTTACAGCACACTATTGTTATTGTTACCAGGCTGCCAATATTCTGTCACATCCAAAGGGCTGCTTGCATTTTAACATTACAATCCACTCTTCCCAGCATTGTAGCTATCAGTCTTACAGGAATCAGATGCAGGAAATTTTTGCCACCAACTCTGAGTTTACTTCACATGGGCCATGCTCATGCTCGGATCCAAAGTCCATTTGCCAAGTTGTAAAAGCCTTTACAATCAGACGCTTGCTTTAAAACCATGTGGTTCCATAGATATATGACCCTAAGAGCATACATTGCTAGAGAAGCAAGGACTGTGCACAACTAAACAAAGAAAAAAATCTTACTTCTGCATACCCACAGGAAGAATATCTGTGAGCCAAACAGCACAGTTTTATCACCCTAGATTAGAACGAACACACCACAAAGGCCCAACAGATGTGGTTGAATACTTGAAATAAGCACCTTTTCCTTCTCAGCAGGCTCCTATGCTTTTAGCAACTGCATGGCAGGCGAACCAGTGAGGTTCGCCTCCACTGTATCTCAGAATGGTGGGGAAACTGTCACTTACTGCATTTCTGCCTATCGCATAGAAAATATGTGAATCATCAAGGAATGAAGTAAGATGGAAAATTCACAAATCCTACTGGTAGTGGTAGACACAACTTCCCCCCTCTAAATATGATTATAGTTAGAGAACCAGCAGAATCATTTTTTTCCAGGGTGAGGCGAAATATTCCCATACATCAGTAGGGCCACAGAACAGATCTGTTATTTCTGGTAGACTTGGCTGCAGATAGTTGGTGAGGCCTAGGCATGAGGCCTATGCACTTGAGAAATTGATGTAGCTGGGCTACCCTGTTGTTCTGCTGTCCATAAGTGAGTAGGCACAGTACATGACAAATGCTTCCACCTGCACCTGAAACCATAATTCTTGTCTCCTTTCTAACTCTCCCGCCCATAATTGCACTGTCACTATACTGAATCTACATTTCAACCCAAGTAAAGTGCAGGAGGAGATGTGAGAAGAACATATGGCCACTCTGCTGGATTTCCATACACTACTCTGCCACTTTGCACCAGCAAAATGAATTTACTCTGCAGGGTAGGTTTCCCCCCTTGTTTTTATAGCCATGGCCATGCCCCTTCTAGAATTTCAGGAAGAATAACTAAGGGCTTTATCTGCACTGGCAGAGCAGTTTTACTCAGAGGCACAAAAAAATAACAAAAAGAATCACATATTTTGGTACAAAGCAAGATCTGAGCTTGCAATTTTTTTTCCTTTGCTGCCTAATCATAGCTACATCAAAAACTTGCATGTTTGGATTGTTTTCTGGGAGGCAAGAATCACATCTACACTGGGGCATAGATTCCTACTCAGTGGTTTACAAATGAACCTGGAAGATATTAGTGTCTGGGCCAATCTCTGTTTGCACCTTCATTCACTCACTAAACATAGTGAAAAGCAAGGGGAAGCTAATTCCTCACAAAAAGCAAATGGTACAGTGTCTACACACTTGGCTTACCTTGAGTTTTACCAGAACTACAGACTTGTTTTTAAATAAAATGAGAGCTGGCAGTCTGGGCTTTACCCAGGAGACACAAAGGTAACTTTGATTATGTCCCTGCAGTCATCCATAGTTAAATACATGATACTTATCTGTTAATCATAGATCTGTTGTGTCATTTATTTTATTAAAATTGCTGTTCCTTATTTAAATAATTATTCCTTTAATAAATATCCCTTATTTTAAATAATATGACTCCAAAAAGATTCTTAGTCTGATTACTGCTCCAATGGCCACAAACATGCAAGCTCAGATGCGAAGAAATTAAAGCACAGTTAAAGCTATTAACAACTTGAGCACACCTGTTTACTTGCTAGAAAATATAAAGACATTCTCCTGGGGGGGGAAAAGAGGAGATTATCAATTGTGGACGCTTTATAGTTACCTAGTTGGACTGGAATTGCATCATCTATGTATGGTACAGATCAGTTCTATGAAATGAAGAAAAAGAAAGAAATGGGAGTCTGTGTGTCAGACTGGGTACAACTGTTTGTCAGTTAGTACATACCTGATAGGTTCAGGTTTCTTTCTAGGTAGCCAGAACTGATAGGTTCAGGGTCTGTGCGTTACCTTAAAGGGTTCTGTGGGAACCAAGCTGTTGTATGTGTGTGATTGGGACTATGCCACGTTACAGTATCCTATTTACCTGATTCTTTTATTTACCCTGTTTGTTGTTTCAATAAACCTTGTTCTTTTATTTATTAAAATCCATTCCTGGTCTGTGTGACTCCTTACAGGGAATGGTTGGTGGCAGCATAATTACATGGTGGGATACTCCAGTAGGTCTGGGGTTGCCACACTAGAAAATATAAAGACGTTCTCCTGGGGGGGAAAAAGAGGAGATTATCAATTGTGGACGCTTTATAGTTACCTAGTTGGACTGGAATTGCATCATCTATGTATGGTACAGATCAGTTCTATGAAATGAAGAAAAAGAAAGAAAGAAAGCAGCAGAAAAATTTCAAGCCCATGTGAATCAGCCATACAGACAATTAAATGGTCCTTTGTATTACAAACTGAAAGCAGAAAGCCCAATGCTTAGGAAGAAATGCAAAAGCACTATTATAATCCCACATAAAAAAGAAACGGCAATCACTGCTCAATGCATAGCTCTCAGGCTATGTGAGGCAGCCTCCTAAACTTAGGTTTAGGTCTGGCCAGTATCTGGCTGGAAGACCATTTTGTATTTTCCTGCATAGACCCCATTTAGTTTCATGGTGAAAGACAGGCAAATCTACTTCTGTTTACTTGTAGATATTGTAGTTTTTTACTCAAAGTTTATAAAATAAATGCACTGGTTTTGGGAAGATTATACTATTTCTGCAAGTGAAAGTAAGGTATGTCCAAAAGTAGGCCTTCAAGACTCTCCCCTTCTGAAAGCTGAAATGTCTCTCTTACTTTAATAGTATTTGAGACTGAGGAATGGAGAGTGCCAATACAAGCATAGAGAAACTTTGCTCTCTTTGCTGTCAGCAAGATTCCATGAAGAAACAGTGATGTAATGGCTATGTGATGGCTCAATTCTGTTTGTTTTGCTCTCCACCCTCTCTACACACAGCCATGCTTTTGCAAGGCTAGCACAGCGAGTTGGGCCCTCATTTAAAAACAACAACAACCTTTTCATGCCAATTATTTTAAACTATGTTTCTCACAAGTCTGAAAAAAAAACAATATCTGCATACCTAAACCAAGTGCAGCCTGGTGCTGCTAGAAACAAACTCAGACGTTCTGTTGCTGGACCCACTAAACAACTGCAGTCTGAGAACACAAAAAAATTATAAATTGCTCTTGGAGAAAGACAGAGTAACCTTTTTGGGACTGAAGTGCTATTTAATCTCAATATTTAATGCAAGACAAAAAAGAAAAAGGAACTTCTTCTAAGCTTCCTGTAAAATAAGACCTAACCTCAAAATAAGCCCTAGGATGATTTTTCAGGATGCTCGTAATATAAGCCCTACCCCGAAAATAAGCCCCAGTTAAGCAAAGGCCTGCCCTCCACCATTGTGCAGCAGCCAGAAGAAGGTGACATGACTGTATTTGAATAAATGTAGATGGTTGTACATGAAAAAAATCCCCTGAAAATAAGCCCTAATGCGTTTTGGAGCAAAAATTAATATAAGACCCTGTCTTATTTTCGGGAAAACACGGTAGAAGATACATAAGATATTAGCATGAGGAAAAGCACAGCTGACACACCATGTCACTAGGTGTAATAACTTGCCTAACCTTCCAAAACCCAAGAAAAGCAACACTGGGGGATTTCTCCAGTTTGGGATTGCCATGGGCTGCTTCTCCTTACTTTTTATTCTACATTGTCCAAACACTGGATGGTGATCCAGGGGGACCTAACCAAACTTTTCTTGATTGATTCAGTACCTTATGTAAGAATAGTGAAGAAGACAACAGTAGGCTTGTATCACTTACACGTATCTGCTTGTCTTTTTGCAAGATGTCATCATTATTTGCATCAAATGTTAACCGCATCTTTTCTGCCCCATTTTTCTTGCGTACACCTACAGATTATACTTTTTCCCTCCCATCCTGCCAGAAAAAAAAGCCACAAAACCTCTTGCATTTAAACAAGTCCCAGCAACTAAATATATTCTAATCAAAGCATTACTTTGCTGCTATTTAAAAGTTAAGGTGTAGTGGATGGTTTCTTTCTCCTTTTTTTCAAATCTCTCTTCACCTAAGAAAGAGAATCTTGTTAAATGCTCAACGTAATCCTCCATGCTCACCCAACACATTACTGCGGAAGGAAGGAAGATGAAAAAAAAAGCCGTTTTTTTCAACGCATACAACGACCAACGTTTTGCACAAGGTCTGAACAGTTTTTAAAGATACGCGAGGCACCGATTAAAACCAGCAACACTTATTTTGGACAGAAACAGTCCAATATTCGCAACCAATTGCTTCCCCGCTACACACACTCTTGCTCCTGCTGCTTCTTTTAAAAAGCCAATTCTTTAAAAGTGGCAAAGGAAACAAAACAGGAAGGAGGTACAACTTTCTTAATTGGCCCACTTGATCCCCACCGGGATATTAAAACGCGACTACAGATAACATAGGAGGCGATCATCACAAAACCAGGAAAGTACAGTGTGCACTTCACAAAGTATCGCCTTTGTAAAGAGGAGCCACCCACAAGAGCGACTGTCCCAAATTCTACGAGATCAGGAGAGCTTTGATCCCCGGTTTTTCACTCCCGCCGTCCCAAACTGCGCGCCCGGTGCCAGGATCACTCCGGGGAGTCCTCCTCCTCCTCCTCCTCCTCGGAGCAAACGGGCAGGAATCAAAGCACGCCGCCGGCTCCTTAATCTAGACCCGCTTCCCACTCTAGGGCGGGCTGTTCCGTGTCCCTCCCCCCGCACCTTTTCTCCCCCTTACTTTTAGTTGAGATTTCGACACTTTCCCGCTTTTCTCCGCGTCCAAGGCCGTGAAGGCGTACCAGATAGACTTCAGAAGCTCTGCTCTCAGCTCCATGATTCGAGGAGCTGGCGCGGCTGTCAGAAGCACCTCAGCCCGCGAACAGGCTCCGCGCCCGCGCGCGCGCCCACGACGTCGTCTCAGGAAACTTGCCGCTCAGGGGCGGCAAGCGGGCAGAGAGAGAAACCCCGAAACCGCAGTGCCTCCTGTCGGTCCGAACCTGAACAGCTTATATAAGAAGAGCCCTGCTAGATCAGGCCAAGGGCCCATCTAGTCCCGCTTCCTCTGTCTCACGGTGGCCCCACCAGATGCCCCTGGGAGCAGTCTCCTGATACCCCTCCCCTGCATCTGGCATCTTCCTTTTAAACCTGGAGATTATACATCCCCATCATGCCTTGTAACCTGTGATGGATAGGTGTGTGTGTCTCTCCCCTTCGCCCTCCCTGTGTTCTTTTTCATTCAATGGTCCGAGTAACTGAGGGATATGGAGCTGCTATAACTTAGTAGGTTGAAAAGCCTGGGGGGGATCAAGCTTTTGAACCCCCACTTTGAATTCTTGAGGTGTGTGTGTGTGGGAAGGACAGAAAAGATCACCTAGAGGGTTTTTATAATCTACCACCTGCACAGCCCTGGGCAAGTTGCAGGGCCTGGCCTTCCACTAGAAGAGATTGGTAACCGGATTCTGAGTGCTTTGCACATGGAGAAGTCTGGGAGGATCATGATCACTTTTGGAATTGACTTTACAGCATATAATTATTATTCGGTCCTTCAAAAAGCCTCTAGTTTAGGAATAAAGCATCTTGAATCTGTTGCAGAGTTTTGAATTTCTACTTAAAAGCCCTTTTTGCTATGCGGTAGAAGTACTGAGACTTGCAGAAGAGAATAACTACAAGTTCCCCATACAGTCCACCCCTTTCTCATTAACTGGCATTTGCACTCTCAATAACTCTGTTCACAATTGTAAGCAATGAAACATTTATTCTACTATTACCCTGTTTCCCCTAAAATAAGACCTAACTTGAAAATAAGCTCTTGTATCATTTTTTCAGGATGCTTGTAATATAAGTCCTAACCCCCAAAATAAGCCCTAGTTAAATGAAACCCCACCCTCCACCATTGTGCAGCAACCAGAAGATGACATGACTGCATTTGTACACGGCAAAAATAAAACATCCCCTGAAAATAAGCCCTAATGCGGTTTTTTGGAGCAAATATTAATATAAGGCCCTGTCTTATTTTCAGGGAAACAGGGTAGTAGTAGAATAAATGTTTCATTGCTTACAATTGTGAACAGACCAACAGCAAACAAAACAACTCTGCTTCCAACAGACTAAAGAGAGGGTGGGGAGAACACATAGCAGAGTGGTGGGGCTTTCTTTAGGTTCAGAGGGAGAATGAACAATTGATTAGTGCTGGACAGTTTGATAGTCATCCAAGCTCAGAAAGGTCCCTCCCAGTCACTCAAACCACAAGCAGTATGTGAGGATGTAAAAACTCCCAACAGATTCTGTATCTACTGTTCTAACCTCCAGAAAACAGCCTGGTGTCTTGCCCATGTTACTAGCAGGAAAAAGGAGGCCAAGCTTTACACAACAAAGGCTGTCTGAATGTTGACATCCATGTCAGCAGTCAAGATGGTCTACGCCGGATCCCTCTTGATTCACAAACATATCCCAAACAAGGGATAGTCCAAGAAGTTTATTCCCTTATTTTTTTTAATCAGTTAGCCAATTCTTACCCAAACAAAGAGCAATTGTCATGGATGGTTTTTTTTTACAAGCTCTCTAACTAAATGCTGAAAAGAAATTCCTGTGTACAAGTAGAGCCACCAGAGTTCTCTTTTCCTGTCTATGCCTTCTCTCGCCCTGCCACCTCACTGTTCCTGTCCTTGTCTCACTCTTTTGCTTTCTATCTCTTCCTCTCTCTGGCTCCTCTTTCTGTGTACAGTATATGTCTACTCTCTCTGTGTAGCTTCTCTCCCTCTGTGGCTTGTCTGTTCGTTCAATAACATCAATTTCTCCGGAAAGTTAAAAGTCATAATCTACTATCTTGCTCAGAAGTAAGACTTATTCTCTTCCGTGAGACTTTTTACACTTCCTGGAGTACTGGCAAGTTTGGCAATTGCCTCTGAATACTTCAGTTGCAGCCAGAGTTTTTGAAGTATTTTCTGTGCAAATAAGCATCTTTAAAGCCATACATCTTATAAACAACAGGATGGAGCAACTTAAAATTAAATAAGCACATAGCAAGAATTATTTTCTTTTCAAGAAGTAATGGAATGCAAATAAATAAAAAATGACTTTGCTACCAGCTGCAAAAAATGGCAGCAAAATATCATGGAATGGGAAATATTTTTTAAAAATTAAAACCTGATTTTTAAAAAATATTTGTCTCCAATTCTCCAAATCTGACAGAGCAAGGTCATAATGTCTACTACCACTCTTCTAAATATGATTCTAAGTGAAGTAGCCATTCTCAAGTTGTCAGCCTTTGTTTGGTTTGCACCCTCATGTTGGTAATGGCTTACGGAATGATGTGTTGATTGATCAGACAGTACCAGAAAAGTACTCTGTGCATCTCTATTAAATTGAGACCTAATGGAGTCCAATCAAGGACAGGAGGTAAAAGCAGCAAAATACAATTTGCCTTCAAATTAGTGAAACAGATCCAGTTTCTAATATATCTTCTCCATTTTATAGATTTGACTCATCTCCCTCAGAATTCAAACCTATATATGCTTACTCAGGAGTAATCCTTACTTTGCAACAAGTGTACATTGGTTTGCAACTACGTGTGGAAATAAATGTTGTTAAATGTAATGGGCATCCATAGGATGGGAGTTATTTATGCAGTTACATACTTAATTGTTCCTTTTTCATGCTCAGAATTTTCTTCCTAATTAACCAAAATGGCATTACGCATGCACAAGTGAGGTATTAGTAGATCCTTGAAACATTCCTAAAGATTTACAGAAGTACAAAAATGCTTGAGGAACAAAACTAATAGGGGGAAGAGGAACAGCCCAATATAGCCCAAGAAGACTGAACATGGTCGGTAGCCACACAGTGCTGTTAGGAAAGATGAGAGCAGCACACCACGCCACAGTACTTGTTACCAGTCTAATTTGTGGGGATTTGTGCTTCTTTACTGAGCAGTAACATTATTTATTTAAAACCTTTCATCTATTTCTGTCGAATGTTCATGGCAGACCATTAAAATATCAATACTTAAATTTTCAGTTTCAGTTTCAAACAATACTTCCCAAAGTCACTAAGATTCTGTGAACAGATATTCCCCAGTGCTTTTAATTTTAACAATCTTAGATTGTGTTTTATGTCATTAATGACATATGCAAATATTTTTTGTAGTGGGATGCTTTGCAGTCCCAAGCCCATGCTAGCTCAGAAACAAGCACTGCTGCATTTCTCAAGGAAGTCTGCCCAAGGTCGTAGCCAAACAGACCAAACCCATGGAGTTAACATACAAAGCATATTAAAGCAAGTTTAGTCCATTACTTAAACTCTGCATAGGGCTGCAACTTTATGTATTAGCTCCCTACATCAATCAAGACTTTCTACCAATGACCTCAAGAAATATCAGCATTATCTGATACCTTGTTAAATGCTTTACTTAACATCATTACAAATGGTAAGAGTACAGTATAAAAAGCAGCCCGGGAAATGGACTGAACAATGATTTGTGTGTAGAATGAGTGTGTTACAGCATGCCAAGTTGTGAGGGTTTGATGTTTGGCTCCAAACCAGCCCCAAATAAATCACCAGACTTCCTCGGCTTTGAAATAGGGGTAACATTTATTGCATGGTTTAACAAAAATCCTGTGTCAAATGTATTCCAACCTTTCTCCCCATCAGACAACAGGTCTACCGGGGGGTTCCATTCGTCAGATTTTAAAGGGTTTCCATTCTGAACATTCCAGGGTTCCGGCCATTCAGGTGGTGTACCTGGATTTAATAATAATCCCTTCTCCGCCTCCATAAGGGGATGGTGTCTTCATCTCAATAGTCCACCCAGTCACACTCCCTGGAAGGTTCCCCCGTCTGCCAGGGTCCTCCCTTGTTCCCATCCATTGCATCTCCCACATCCTCCATTCTAATCTCTCCCTTTGTTCTCTTTCCACCTTTTCCTTCTCGTATCTTAATTTCTTCCACCACTCCTTGGTCTCTCTCTCTCACCCCAGTATGATGGTTTAGGGGTGGTTTCTCTCTTCCGTCTGGCATCTGCTTCTTTCTTCAAGACCCTCAGTTTCTCTACCTTTCCCGTCCAGGGGTCTCCAACCCATATCCACTCCCAGCCCACAGGTAGCTCTCATCCCACTCCCTTTATACCTACCAGTCCCGTCTCCACTACTTCCCGCACTTTTTCTCCCCGTCCTGCCAATACAGTCCTGGTCTCCTTGACTGTTAGTTCGTTCAACTCCTTCTCTAGCCTCTCCGGGTCTGGTCCAGGTGGTCTTCTCTTCCTGGGTGGGAGAACTGGCGGGGTCTGGCTCTCTTTCTCAGCAGTAGGCAGGAGGGACGGCACTCCCATGAGAGGAATCTTGCTCTCACCCTCGGTCTTACACAAGTGTAGTGCTTTCTGTGATATCCCCAGGAAAGTTAAAAAAATGTTTAAAATGTATTAAAACGAAGGAACAAAATTGACATAGAAGAAACATTCTTTTCAGCTCCAGGAAATCTCTGATAATAAAGCAAGCACCCTTTGAAATTAAAATGTTACTTCACATAACTGTACTAATTTCCTTAAAACGCAAGATCCTCTACCAAATAACCTGGTCTACATTAACCTTAAAAAACACGTTTTATTTCTGTGCCCTCACTGATAGTTCAATACACAACTTTTAGGTATGTGTAGTTTTTTGTCTTCATACCAGAACGTTTTTTAACCTTGCCTCACACCAGTATATTGCAACTGACTGTACACAAGCTACACTTTGCTGACAGAGCTGCCTTTCTCTTGCTTTAGGTTTTAGCTTTGCATCTCCATTTCCTTTTAGTATGGCAGCTGGGCCCAGTCATCCAAGTCTGTTCGCCCACTCCAAAGCGGCCAGGTGCTGTCTTCTTTTCAAAGTCATACAAGCTATGTGGGTGATTTTAAAAGGAATGTGCTTCTCTGGGACTGTGATCTGGCAAAACTAGGTGATCTGTCTCTTAAAAAGACATAGGAGCAAAGTCAGCTTAAAAAAAACCCATTGCAACCTATTTGTGACCACAAGGCAGGAAATCTTTAGCCACTTCCTTTCAGCAGAAAAAAAGGAAGCTCAGGAGATGGGAGAGATGAAGAGAGGAAAACAAGGAAAAGTGTGCATTTTTGAGTGATGGTTTTCCCTCTGAAAATCAGGAATTTAAAGCTAGCCATAGTGAAAATATGCGAGGAATTATGAGAGGGCAGAATGTATAAAAGGGTCAATGAACTGTTTAAAAGTGTTCTTGAGAAAAACACATTGAAACCTTCCTGTATTTCAACAAGTGAACATAACAAATGCACTATAATGAAATTCTTTTTTAATTTCCTTTCAGAGTATATTTCCATGGTTAGCCTACTTCAGTTTATTTCACTATTGATGATGCTTTGAATATTCATTGAAGGTGAAAATGAATAAAACAGAGCCATCACAGAAATATTTACTCTCTCCCAGTGCTATGCATTATGGAATGACCACTGACGATTTCTTTATTACTTCTGTGCTCATACAAAACAGCTGAAATCGTGTTGGATTATATAATCATGTTGTGCAGTCCTTGTTGCCAATGCGGAATACCCAGCACATTTATAATGACATATAATGAGGCCTGATGAGCAGGATTTCAACCCATATGTCCTAGTGCAAGGAAATTAGATAGCACCCAGCCAGCTGCAATCCTTCTTAAGGCATTTAGCTAAAAACACCTTTACCTGCTAGAAGGTATGAAATGGTAACAGTCCCTGCTGCTGAAGTGCAGTGCAAAACTATCATCTTTTGAAAGCGTTTCAGTTCACAAAATGGACAGTTTAATTTAAGTGCTTAATCCATTAACATTCAGTGGAAACTGGAAGGGTGAGTTCAAAATAATGGGACAGGTGTTCCTCCAGAAATTTATTAAAGTGTCCATGAAATACACTGTAGTGCTTGCAGGTGTTGGAATATGCAAATCAATGGTGTCCCAGTATGCAGTGGGTGATTCTGCCAATCACTCAGTTCTACTACCCTGCTATTGGGATGCTATTGCCCATTGGTTACTTCCTGCCCCTCCTCTCTGTTGTGTGCCTTCTTCCTTGAAGAAGGGCCTGAGCACATGCTATCTGATTCCTCTCCCTCCATCCACACTTGCATCCATGCCATCCAGCTTTAGGGGCTGGTTTACCTAATTTAGAAACGTTCTTCAAAGCTAAAGAAACATGCCTGGAATATGTAAGACAAACAACCTTCTTTCTTTTTTCACTCAAATGCTATTATTTTGACCTTTGCTACTGAAATACTAACATCTGTAGTTAATAAGCCTTTTTTTTTCTAAAGTTATTACAAGTTAACTCCATGTTTTTGACTTTGTACTTAGTTTAGCTCATTGAAGATAATTCTGTCAGCATACACGATGATATTCAACAGTAGGAAGGTCATTTAATCAAAAAGGTATAATCCAAAAAAAATCCATTGATTGTGCTGGTCAGTTATCTATCATTCATTTTGCATACATGACACCAATTAATAACTGCCCTGTCAAAGTCTTGATGGCTGGTTACCCAGCATTTAGATTTTGAACTGGCAGTTGTGAAAGCTCCGCTTGTCTACCCAGCTGTGGTTCCTTAAGTAGAGCACTCCTCTCCCCGTCTCCTAGTTTCTGCGAGATATCAGCATTCATTGTTTGATGCGGCTGCTTCAAGAGCTGCAGACTCCTGCTAAATTGTTGCAGTTGCCATATTGATGGTATCTTTGATGTTCTGTTGTGCTTTTAGATGGACAGAGAAAAAGAAAGAACATCATTTGCAAGATAGTTGGAACCGTACAGCTTTGGAAGGGATCGTCGTTGTGAAAATGGTTAAATAAAGATGAGGCTTCTTGGACCGAATTCTGGTTTTTGTTAGTTTAGGGCAGTGGTGGCGAAACTTTTTGGGCTCGCGTGCCCAAACGGGGGTGGTGGTGTGTCGCGGCAGAACCGGAGGTGGCAGCAGCAGAACCGGAAGTGGCAACCTTTGTTAGTTTAGGGCAGTGGTGGCGAAACCTTTTGGGCTCGCGTGCCCAAATTAGGGGGGGGCAGCGGTGGTGTGTCGTGGCAGAACCGGAGGTGGCAGCAGGAGAACCAGAAGTGGCAACCCAAAAGGGGGAATCCTGGCACAGAGGTACCTTGAGACCCCAATCCAGATCCACTGCCAGCTGCCCTGGATCCACCTGCCAAAGCGCCAGCACTGCGGCTGCAGGCGCCTTCTCAGGTTTGGCTGCACAGGGGGGAGTAGTGATCTGGTGACTTATGGCTCGCGTGCCAGTGGAAAGGGCTCCACGTGCCAGCTGTGGCAGGCGTGCAATAGGTTCGACATCGCTGGTTTAGGGTGTTTTTGCAACAAAAGGCATCAGCAGGAAGTAGTCTGACTCTTCCTTGAATCTTCCCAGAACTACTGTAGCATATTTTTTCACATCGCCTTCAGCTGCTCTGAAAAACATCTGGTGACTTGTTCATAAAACTTTGATGACCCTGATAAGGCCTAGCAATATATATCAGAATTATTACATTTAAAAAGATAAGAAAATATGTTCCCAAACTAAGTTGTTCCAAAGCATGTTTGTATTCAGTGCTTTTGTTTGAAGCTCTTTTGCTTGAAGTCAAAATTAGTGTCATTCTTCTGTGCAAGCTGTTTAAAACCACAAGAATGACTGTCTAATATGGTTATTATTTGGAAGACTAGAAGCAGAAGTGCTCAGCCAGAATATGAATGAATGCAACATAGTAAGGTATATGGAGATGAAATAACTGCATTCTAAGAAAAGAAAACAGGTAGTGGTTAGAAGGACGCACTTAAGCAAAACGTATAACTTCTAGTGTGAAACACAGTCTTAATAAAATGTATATGTGCTTTTTGAGAACAACTTCTTATTTTCCCCTGTGCAGACATTCACACATTCTTTGAGAACCTTAGATCATGATGGGAAAAAGTACTGTCCTCATAGTTGTTACAATTTAAATAATGTTACAACAAAAGCAATTCTTTTTCAATCTAGTTGATAAGAAAAAGGCTGAGTTCCAGATGGAATAAAAGCAAATTAGTAGCATTTAAGCTGCTGAACCTCTCCTTCTTTGCCTCTCATAGGCTGTCTGTTTTATTTTGAGAGCTGGCATTATTCTTCACTCAAATATTTGTTAGTTCTTAACTTTTTAAATGTAACACTTGTGATTGAAATATGGTGCGAATCTGGCAGTACAAAGTTCACATAAAGCACCTGAACTGCCATGTGAGTGCTATTTGCTACTACTAGCAATACTAGCTGCTCCTTGTGGCTGGATGGTATGGGTGAATCATCAGTTACCCTTGTCTCAGAAGTGACACCTGTAACATGAAAAAAGCCACACCAATAAAACAACATTCACATACAGCACTTCCTCCAATCATGTCCAAAGGAGATATTTTCAAGAAATTTGTACCAGATGAACTACAGTCCCATGGTTATTGACCAAATTCACAGGATTTGAAACAATCCTTGAAACCGTTTTCTTGGGCAGTAGTATTGTTGTGACAGTCTTTTCTGCCATTGCAATATTGCTGCTAAATATCCGCAAGTCTTCATGAGGCAGAACAGCCTACAAAAGGGCACAAGAGAAGACAGACAGGAGAAAATACAAGCTGCATGATATTAGCTATCCTATTAAATTAATGTCAGTTCACGGATTAGGAACATGTTTCAGCTTTGAACATGGCAAATGAAAACAGTCATGTAACAAATAACTTTTAACCAGACAGGTTATTTGTGAGTGTATGAATGAATTAACAACACAGATACAGCTTTTGCAAATCCCCCCCCCTTTGAAATGCAATGCTTTTCTCAACAGAGGTTCACCTTCAGATGCCAACCTGTATTGCAGGAGTATGGTTTGCAATGTGTGTGACCACATGGTTTTTATAGAGGCTAGAATATTCTGTGAAGCATTTTCCACAGCCTGGTACAGGGCACACATATGGCTTTTCCCCTGAAAAAGAATGAAATGCATGCAGAAAAAGGTGTTTTTCACTTAATGGCGCAAAGTTAGATTGAAGCCTTGGAACATGTTTGATAGAGAGTAAGCCTAATTGAATACAATAAGGATCACTTCCAAGTCAACATGCCTAAGTCATGTTTATTTCATCATCTTACAGATGGAAAATAGACCAGCTAAGCAATACCAGTGTAGGATTTTTTTCTTCATATTGTTTCCCAGAGATAATATCACTGGGTCACTGCAGAGCTGACCACCCAAGTAGAGTCAAATATCACCATCAACACAAATTGCAAAAAAAGAAACATGCATCTATTCACCTGTGTGAATGCTTATGTGGTTCTTGTAGTTGGTGGTACTTGTGAACCCTTTCTCACATTTGGGCTCTGAGCACATGGATGGTCGGTCACTCATCAAGATGTGTCCAAATATGGACTTTGTGTATATTAGAGGTGGTGAAAGAGCAACCACAGCCTTCAAAAGCACATCCGAAGGGCCACTCACTTTAATGGAAGAAAAAGAAAGACTACTTCCTTAATGAATTGGAAATACAGTAGGACTAAAATTAATGAGAGGTTTAATACCTTTGTTTATGTGTCCAAAACTGCATTAAGTTGTAGGAACGCCAGTAGCTATAATCTGTTACAGCTTCTCTAGTGAGCTGCAGTGGTGGCTATGGAACCATGTGGGGGCCAGGACACACCTTCTCATTCAAGAATATACATACTTATACCTAACCTTGCTGGCACAGTCACCTAAGTGATTTTGTTGTTGTTCAGTCGTTAAGTTGCATCCGACTCTTCATGACCCCATAGACCAGAGCTCTCCAGGCCGTCCTGTCTTCCACTGCCTCCCGGAGTTTGGTCAAATTCATGTTGGTAGTTTCGATGACACTGTCCAACCATCTCGTCCTCTGTCTTCCCCTTCTCCTCTTGCCTTCAAACTTTCCCAACATCAGGGTATTTTCCAGGGAGTCTTCTTTTCTCATCAGATGACCAAAGTATTGGAGCCTCAGTTTCAGGATCTGTCCTTCCAGTGAGCACTCAGGGTTGATTTCCTTCAGAATTGATAGGTTCTTCTTGCAGTCCAGGGGACTCTCAAGAGCCTCCGCCAGAACCACAATTCAAAAGCATCAATTCTTTGGCCCAAAAATAAGACAGGGGTCTTATATTATTTTTTGCCCCAAAAACCACACTAGCGCTTATTTTCAGGGGATGATTTTTTTTCCATGTATGACAATCTACATTTATTCAAATACAGCCATGTCATCTTCTAATTGCTACACAATGGTGTAGGGCGGGGTTTCACTTAACTAGGGCTTATTTTTGGGGTAGGGCATATATTACTAGCATTCTGAAAAATCATACTAGGGTTATTTTCAAGTTAGGTCTTATTTTTGGGGAAACTGGGTATGTCCAAACATTCACACATACAGTTCAGAATGAGTACTTAGCCAAAGCAAGGTTACTTATAGAGGCAGCAATCTGCAAGCCTGGCATCTTTTCATAAACTGGTATTTACCAAACAAGGCACTGAACAATAAAGATTGTGCACTAGAAAATTTTGTTAAAACCATCATAATGTCAATGAAGTTTAGATTCTCTGTTATGCCACTGCTGTCTACACCACATCCCTCCTACTTTTTAAATCTCTTAAAGAGGCACAAAGAAGCATTCTTATTTGAATCATGATGTGGTTTAAAAGCCCCACATGGAAGACACACGACATCTTCACCTTGTTGGCGCAATCGTTGAAGGCAGTACAGTAATGGTATTAAGATCAAAGGTATTATTTTTCTCCCCAACAACCAATTCCTCCAGCCCCACATCTGCTTCCATTGCCAGGATGGGGCCACCTGACATGAAACAGGATGGTATATGAAAGCTGTGGATCCTTCTTCTAGCTGAATTGCTTCTAGGGTGTTAGGGTCATAACCCTCTGGAGTGACCACAAACACTGTAGTAGCACATGTCCGCTTTAAGTGCTACTTATTTGCCTCTTGATCATTTAAAGCTGGCAAAAGATGAAGAGTTAAGAACATCAATGGTAAAATCTTAGCTGCAGTTGAATTTTCAGTATTTGTGCACCAAAGGCCCTCCAACTCTGTTTATGACTAAAGATTGCAACATGAAACATGTACCACAATCAAAAGACAGGTAGAATCAGCAGCTGAAATCCAACAGTAAGTCACAACTAGAGTTGACACATTGAATCAGTGTGGATTTCTTAAGTCAACTCCTCCATACGTTCCACTGATTCAAAGGGCCTACTCTAGTTGCAACTTACTATTGGATTTCAGCCATTTATAGGAATATTTCAAAACAGAAAGCCACACAGTGATTTCACATCCCTTGCTTGTTTCAAAAAACAAGGAGAAAATTGGCAGTTTGATTTTTGTTTGCACTTAAAGAGTAGCAAATTCAGAGAGCACAGGGCAGCACAAAAGGTGTAAGACAGAACACTGACAAAAACCCCTGTCCCAAGCCTTCATATCATGGCTTAGAGAATCAACAGTGAGTGACAAGCTCAAGTGCTTCCTTTCTAATATGTTACTGGAAATCTTTCAATATCCCAGTTTATATCCAAATAAGCAAACACTGGTTGTCAGTGATGTCTCCAAATATGGATTTATCTAGAGATAGGGGATGGAGAAGCACTCAAGCTTGTTGCTCATTTCTAGTCATCCAGTTAATGATCTGGCTGTCATAGGCAGTGGTACACCTTTCTCTTTCCAATACCGGTTTGGGTTTTCCACTTTATTTTTGATTTGCGTGTTTCCCAGAGTATAGAAGAGGTGAGATAAAATGAGCAAAAACACACATTTTCATATATATTTTTCTCCCAAATTCTTTTAAACATGTAAATAAAATGTATTGTTAAATGGAAACTCCATGTCCAGAGCTCCTGTACCTCTGCTGGGAGACAAATAAGGCAGGGCTTGTTCTTTATCTGCTCTCCTATTGCCTCACTTATACATTTCATAGAATACCTGGTTAGTCAATAGTGGCAATGAAGACCAGTCTGGTTTTATTCAGCATAGCTGCTCTTAGGGTATAGTATAAAACTTTTCAAGGTAAGCAGAAGCAATATAAGTAAACACAAATAAATATAAATGGATGCGTAATCAACAAGAGCTCTTTCTCCATATTTAGCCGCCTAGAGTGGCCTTTTAGGCCAGATGGGCGGGGTATAAATCAAATAAATAAATAAATAAATTTATTAGTTGTATTATGTCTATATCTCTTCTTTCTTCCAATGAGCTCAAAGCAGCATAGTTGACTCTGTTCCTGCTCCTGTCCCACAACCTCTGCATCCTCACAACTACCCTGGGAAATAGATCTAGCTGAGTGTGACCAAGTGTCATCATCACCCAAAGAGTGAACATGCATGAACAGAAATCTGAACCAAGGTCTATCAGCTCCTAGTCTAAGAATTTAGTGTAACCCATTGGCTCATTTAGGCAAAGTTCCGGCCAGACAAGTATTACTCCAGGTTATACTCCAGGCCTACAACTCCTACCAGTTCTACCCAGCATAGCCAGTACTATGGGGCTGTGGGATATGTTGTCCAAAGTATCTGGACAGCCAAATGTTCCTTCCCTCGTGACTGAAGCCCACCATTCTACATGTCCAACATAGCTGAGATGTCCAAATAAACCAAATATGGGGGGCAAGGAACAACATAATACCAAGAGGATACTGAACACAGATAGTTGAAGGCATATAGGAATGGATGCAATTGTAGGGCAGCCAGAGCTGACCAAGTTTGTACAGTTAGTACATCAAGTCCGGAAACACGAATTGAATACCTTTATTCCTGTTTAACCACTCTGGTCATTCAGTGTCAACTAGCACTGTAAACAGAAGTATGTACATCTATGAAGTGCTGTCTTAAAAGCATAATGCTACGAAGTTTTTTTAAATGACAGAAAATACATTGACAGGATAAGAAATGTGACTAGTACTCCATTTATATCTGAGATGCTGGAGCGCAGGGCTTTTACTAGAGCAGAACAAAGGTTATGAGGCACTCCACAAAGGTTATTGCAGCCTACAGCTGCAAGTTAAACCACAGAAGCCTCTGTGCTGCAAGGTCAGAAGACCAGCAGTTGTAAGAGTGAATCCATGTGACTTGTTCCAGCTCCTGCCAACCTAGCAGTTTGAAAGCATGTAAAAATGCGAGTAGATAAATAGGTACCACCTCGGTGGGAAGGTACCGGGGTTCCGGGTCTTGTCGCGCTGGCTACACGACCACGGAAAATGTCTTCGGACAAACGCAGCCTCTACGGCTTGGAAACGGGGATGAGCACCGCCCCCTAGAGTCGGACACGACTGGACTAAAGGTCAAGGGGAACCTTTACCTTAACTTACAGCTGCTTTCACAGCAGAGTGACTCCTTGAAAGAAGGTTACCCTACATTATATTTGTTTGTAATGCATGGATTACCTACGCAGGAGTCCTGGCAGGAAAACGCTGGGAACCCTGAGAGGAAAGTGTATTTTTCCGACCCCTCAGACGCAGGTGCCGCTCCCCACCACTGCCGGGTAGTTTTACTCGAACGCCTGCCGGTGGTTCAAAGCCCGTCCGGAGCCACAAGAGCCCAACCTCTCGAGCAGGGAACGGGAAGGTCAAGAAAGAAACCGAGAGCCGATCCAAGGCAGGTCGCGCCAGGGAGATGGGGCGCGGAGGCAGACGAAGAAGGGCCAGGGGGCTGCTCCTGAGGGAGAGGAGCTGGGAACAGCCGCCCTTCTGCCCTGCTAGGGCTGCAAAAAAGCGCGGAGTGGCTCGGCGCAGAAGGAGCAAAGCTCCCTTCCCTTAGGAGCCGGGGCGAAGCCCTGGCCCTTCTTCCCCGCCTCCCTCCCGGCACCGACCTGTGGAGGGCTCAGGGCCAGCTCCGCCGCTTGGCCGCCCCGCCTCGGGCCTTTCCTCGCAGCCACTCGCGCCCGCAGACTAGGTGAGGTGCCTTTGATTCAAGCTGTGTGTCTTGAGCCACCCGGACGAGGAGTGGCCTCCTCTGGGGGCGGGTAGTTCGCAACACCGCTGAGGAGCAATTTGTAAACTGCGAGGGTTTTCTTCTAGTCTTCTTTCATTTATTTCTCTTTCCGTATGCGTTTATTTGTTTGTTTATAACATTTTTGCTCCCGAAATGACACTAAAGATACAAACAGCCTCGTGTGAAGTCTGTGTGGCTGTCGTTGGGCTTGTCCACACACTGGAGTTATCTCCGGTTGTTCTGTCATTTTTTTTCTGGCTGATTTGAGATACCATCCTTGTGTTTGTATCAACGCATGGAGAAGGTGTTTGTGGGAGAATGCTCTGGGCTGCATTGCATCCTGCCAGTGTTCCCTTTCCACACCTCCTGGATTGCTCCCTAATGTCTCATTCTCTGTACAGATCGCCTCCCCCTTTGCCTATTTTCTCTCCCCCCCTCCCTGCCCACTTCACTTTCTTTCCCTCTTCCTTGTTTTAGCTATCCAGGAGGTTCAGAGGAGCGATGATTGACCATCAGGAAAACACCTATAAAGAAATGCCATCAAATGATACCTACCCACAAACTGCATGGATCAGCATAGAACAACATAGTGGAGTCTACATCAGCAGATGCTACTGTGGAGCAGATTAGAAGAGACGTACATCTGGCAATAGTGTAGAAGCCCCCAGAAAACACTTTTTAAAAATTGTCCTGCTTTGACTCTGTTGACAGTACTTTCAGCCCTGCATTGTGTGGATGCTGGGTGACAGTGTGGGTGTTGTGGTGCAAGGAGAGTTGAACAAATAGTGTGGATGTGGTGGTCTTAGGCATAGATTTATGGGTACATCTCATAGAATCATAGCCTATAAGGCCATCGAGTCCAATCGCCTACTCTGTGCAGGAATCCAAATCAAAACAGATCTGGCAGAAGGTTGTCCAATTTTCTCTTGAACGCCTCCAGTGTTGGAGCACTCACCTGAGGTAAGCGGTTATGCTGTTGTACTGCTCTAACACTTCAGATCCCCCCCCCCGATATTTAGCATACAGCTACAATTTGGATTTTTCAATGTGGATTTTTTAATCCCTTCTTGCTGAGTACACAGGCTCATTAGTTAGAGAAAAACAGGTCACCAGGCTTTCTTTATCACTCAGTCCTTGAGATAATTTTAGGTGGTGATTAGATTAGGAAGCAACATGTCCTTGTTGGTCAGTGGCCAATAAATTGCTGGTGTAGATCTTGCATTGAGAATATAAAACTGCCAAGTGACTTGCTGTTTTCTACTGCCACCATATTTGGATTATTGTAATAGACTGTCTGGGACTGCCTGCCTTGAAAACTCCAAACTTTGTGGAAACCTCAACTGGTCCAAAACGTTCCAGCCAAACTGTGGACAGGGCAAACTTACAGGGGACATTGGAGTCTCTTGTTACAACTGCTTAATTGGCTTCCCCCCTCCCCCCTGACATAATTCAAAGTGCTGTGCAACCTGCATTCACCTTCAGACTGCCTGCCTTGAAAACTCCAAACTTTGGAAACCTCAACTGGTCCAAAATGTTCTAGCCAAACTGTGGACAGGGCAA